ACGTGTGCTCTTCCGATCTTTCTTCAGTCACACGTATACACACAAAGCGGTTTGTACCTAAAGGCGAATTTTCACAAAATCTTCTTGTCAAAATTAGTAATCGATTTCGATATACATACATATCGATCGTTGTTGTTCAGTTGCAAGAGTAGCACAATAAAATTAATAAATACGGTTAATTAAGATTAAATAAAAATCAGCTTAAAGAGCAATAAATAATTATATAATAATCGCTCAATATTATATAAAGTAATTAATTAATTATTAATAATAAAAAATAATGAATGTTAATAATTATTATTAATGTGAAAAATTATTTAAAAAATATTGTAATACAAAACGAAATAAATAAATGTGTGTATTTCTCTCTCTCTCTCTCTCTTTTTCTTTTATGCTGCATAAATAATAAATTAATTTAATATCTTGGCCATAATTTTATTGATTTCACGATTATTTTTGATCAATCAATTTTTAAATAATTGTATATTTAAATTATAAAAAAAATTGGTCTTAGTTTTAGAAGGAATGTAAATGATATTTTTTATGTATTTAGCATATATTTTTTCTTTTTTAAAAAGATTTTTTATAGGATCATAAATATCTTCAAAGAAACAGATAAAATAGAAACAATTTAATTAGAAAAGTAATCTCAAAAAGCACTAAAAAATGTGCTGTAAATGATAAATTTATATTAACGTATTGTATTGTGGTCCTTTAGTTTAAATTGAAGTATAAGAAATATCATATTTTCTAATATTTTCCGCATATGTATAATCAACGTAGCAATTGTTCCTAAATGTACGAGTGCGTATCTGTTTATAATAATATAACAAAATATTGAAATTTTTAGAAAAAAAGAAATGCATTAATAAAAGTGAAAATGTTATTAGATAATTTGCGTTAAATTAAAAGTAAAATATCCGTCATGTTTGTCTATGCGTGCCACTATTCAATACCATGATTATAGATCTCTATTTTGTTGCTTATGAATATTACAACGTGTGCGTGTGTGTGTGTGTGTGTGTGTAAAATTTTGAGATTGTATTAAACTTTGTTAACGCATAAAAAGAACATTTTAAATTTTAATATTTATTTGCATGAAATGCGCCTCTACATGGCTCTATCATGAAATATGTTAATCTTAATGTTTATTATAGTTAACAGTTTAAATTTAAGAAGACAGGATATTAAAAATTCCTATGTCTCTATGTAAAAATAAAAAATATATTAAGAAAATA